ATTCCCATCCTTGAGTGTGGGCCAGTTCCAGCATCTCTTAGTTCTGGTGCCTCTCAGGTGGGCATCATTGCCATTATAAGAAAACAAGGGAGGTGTTCATGGTGAGTTCTACCACCTTTTTTTCTAAAAAAAACCCCAGCACTATCAGTAACTATTATATTATGCAAGCTGCATTATTACTTTATAATAATCCAAAGAAGCAAAATTGGTCTTTTATATTCAGATGAATCACAGCTCCGAAGCCTACAAATTATACTAATGATTGGAAAATATTTTATTTAAAATATTCCAGAGCTTGCATCCTCTATGGCTGTCTGTGATGAACACAAAGTGATGGTTAAGTCCTTTTGAAAAGCAAAAGTTTTCTCATTATTTTCCCAACATTGTTTTTCATCTCTGTGTTACGCAAAGTAAAGATCATTGAGTTCAGCATTGGTGTTAAAAGGCTGTAGAGGACTGAGGCAACCTTGTCTCCTGGAAATACCTTGAAAGGCCGGTCATAAACAAACATTCCTGGAACAAAGTTTAAGCTCATGACCATGATTTGTGCTGCACAGGTAGAAAGAGCTTTGTGCTTCCCTTCTGTGACATGTGCTCTAATCTTCACCAAGATGACAGTGTATGACACAAGCAAGATGAAGAAGATCAATGTGAGGAGCAGTCCACTGTTGCAAACCATCAGCAACTCTGGGATATACGTATCAGCACATGCCAGTTTGATGAGCTGTGGAATGTCACAGAAGAAATTATCCAGGATGTTGGATTGGCAGAAAGGCAGCTGAATGATAATTCCAATCTGGACGATGGAGTGAGCAAAGCCACCCAACCATGACCCAGCTACCAAACCTATACAAACTCCTCTATTCATAATAACTAAATATCGCAGTGGCTTGTAGATGGCTATGTATCTGTCCACTGCCATCACCACGAGTAAGAAGACCACAGCACCCCCAGTTAAATGGAAGAAGAAGATCTGTGCAATGCACCAATTGTAGGAGATGGTATGAGTATGGGAGAAGAGGTCCCATAATATTTTCAGTGATGTGACTGTCGATTCACTGATGTCTACGACAGCCAAGTTGGCTAGCAAAAAGTACATGGGAGTATGCAGGCTGGGGGTGGTGATCACAGTGACTATAATGGTGAGATTTCCTAACCAAGTTGTGCTGTAGACAGTGAGGAAAAGGAAGAAGAGAAGGGACTGTATTCTGGGATTCTGAGAGAAGCCCAAGAGGACAAATTCTGTTACTGCTGTGCTGTTCTTCTCCATGTGAGCATCCTACTGAGGCTCACTAAGGACTACTAAAAGTCATGTCATCAAATTACTTCCTCAAACAACTCTTGACATACCCATTACAGGTCCCCCACAACAATCAAATCATAAATTTGGGTTGTAGATATACAATTGGACGTCATCAAGTATCACTTCATCTGTCCAGCATCACTAAAAAATGTAAACATTTTCCACGGTTCAAAAGTTGGCAAATCCCAACCATGTCTATGGAGAAGTAAATCATATTGAGTAAATGGGTCTTATTCCCCAGTAAAGGTATAAGGATTGCTTTACTTATTTTTGCAAGGGTCATGTGCCATATTGACATAATCTTATGGCAGTTTATTGCAGAAAATTTGTATGAATTCTAATTTGTTTTAGTCTATTATATGGCGGTTTTAACTTTCTGTATGTTTTAAATTATGATGTACATATGTTAGTGATAATTTTAGTGTGCTATCATTTTCGAAGCAACTTTCAGGTTTCCCCCCTGCCCTCTACAATCAAGCAGTATCTAAATGTTATGAAACAGAATAAATAAATAAATTTCCACATTTTATACCACAACAGTCCAATTAGCTGGGAACTTTCCATTTCTAATTACAAAACAAGTTGAAAACTGTCATCCTAGAGAAGCACAGTTATTTCTCCTCGGTGAGTATCTGTTCAGACGAATAATGTAGTTCAGTGCAAAAAAAAAGTCTATTAAACCATCAACAACATATAGCATTCAACTCATCATTATCTTTTTAAATCATCAGTAATCCATGATAAGTTGAGCATTAGAAATCAAGAAGGCAGAATATTGAAAAAAGGATCAAGCCCCATTTTTCTTTCTTCCAAAATTATTTCATTCCATTTGGTAGAGTCTAGAGCGTATTACTCCAAGAATGCCTTCTTATCTTCTATAGTGAACAAATTAACCTTCAGTGCTTCTGCTTTTAATACCAGAAATGAACACAGAGACAAGAGTAAGAAAAGAGCTATAATGAAATAGTGACTCCAGAAACCTGCACCTAAAGGATTACCTTTGAAGGAGAATAACCCTACAGTCTCCTGAAATGATAAGCAATGCTTATTGTCTCCTAGTAATAATATGAGATGACAAAGGATTTGCATCCAAAGGGGCTCTGGTGTTGGACATGGCGTCACTCCTATTCATATGTCTGCAAATAATAGAGATGCTATGAAATTGCTTATGAGTTTCAGCATTATGTGAAGAAGGCTGTACTAGGAGAAACTGGGGAATCAAAACACAGGGGAGATCATTAAGGTCCAATATGTGATTTATTCAACAGAGGCTCAGCTAATGTCGTGAGATAAGCTGAGTCAGGGGCACAGTCCACAAGATTTGGTTTATAAAATCTAAATGAATAAGTGTCAATGAAAATAAAGAAATACTCCTGATGCCAACGGAATTGTTGTTCACCCACACATTCAGGGACTTGGAACCCTAACAAATGTGATTTTTTAAAATAAATGTGATTTTTAATATATATATATATATGTTAATAAGATGTGCAAACCGATCTGATAAAGTCAATATGATTTTTTTAAAAAAATATATAATGTTAATAAGATGTGCAAACCGATCTGATAAAGTCAAAGTAGGAACCTGTGCAAAATAATTTCAAGAAGCAATGTCTTTGATTCAGACATATAGTGGTTTGGAACTCTACAAACAATAATAATGATTGGAAAAACTATATTAGTAACACTATAGTGGAGCTTGTAGAGCTCTCTATTGTCCTCTCTGATGAACACATAATAATTTAATAATAATTTATTATTTACACCCCACCCTTCTGGCTCCATTTCCCAGTAATAGTGACAGTGTCATCCTTTTGGAAATTAGTGTTATCATCATGCATGTACAATATGCAATAATGATTCAGTTCCACTAAATCTGACATAAAAACATCACATGGTTAGTTCAATTTTTCAGAAAGATGATATTTTAAGTATTTAGTCATTCATGCAAAAAGTCCAGAAAACGTTTTCCAAGCTAATCCAATAAATGTCAATAATTATTGAGCACATTAACTTTTCTTTCTGCTTTGAAGATATCACAGAAATAGTAAATAACACATAAATAAAGAAATACATATAGGTCAAACTAGGGTCACTTTATTTATCTATACCATAAAAACTGCTGCAAAGGAAACACTATTGGTTTGGGAGCAAACCAGAACCTGAAATAAACTTTAGCTTAGGGCAAAAAAAAAACCCTGATGCAAGAACTGGAGGCTTTACTATCCAGCCTTCATCCCATTCCTAGGCCACACCAAGAAGGTGAAGAAGTTAATGTTGTTTGTTATTATTTACTACTTATATGCCGAGTGTGTTGGTTCCCCCCCATAAATGTTACGTTAGATGATATATTGATGTATTGAATGATTCCCCATTCCTTTTCCTCCTCCTCTTACGGTATTTTTGTGTCTGTGTGTCATAGGAGCCAACTGCTAGGGGCCATGGGGGTTTCACCCACCACAATAAAATATTTGAGGGGGCTAGGCCCCAACAAAGTTAATGGGCATCCCCATTCAAATAGTGTGTGTGCATATATCATTTGATGCATGGCAGGGCTTGCCTGGGCCCCCATAATATTTTATTCAAGTTGGAACTCCATATATAAGAGGGTCCCAAGGTAGTGCCACATTAAGACCTTTAGAGGCCCTAAGCACTTACAAGATGTTGGTGCCCCCATATATATCTAATTCAAAATATCAACAATAATAAACCACGAAATAAAATTTTATTTTTTGAAATGAAACGAAACCTACCTTATGATGGAAAATGATGTTTGGTTTTGTATAGTCTTCTGCTTTTTAGAATTGCAAAGTTTTTGATCAGATCCTCAGAACTAATCTTACATAATTTCTTTGCCCCCCCTCCTTTGGTGCTAATTTTGCTTAATAGTTAATCCAGCCTTGTGCCCAGGCTAAAACACAATTACTCCCCTTCCCACACCTGAACTTCCCAAAGTGAATAAATTAAAGACCTGGTTCGTCTAATCAATATAGGGCTGCCATATGTTCAGAATTTCCTGGACATAGCCGGGATTCAAACATTGAAAATATCATCGGGGCAGAATTTTGGTAAAGCAGCTAAAACATCTGGGAAGACTCAGGCGTATAGCAGCCCATATCGGAAGTGGGTTTTTTGATTATTTTCCTTTAAAAGCCAAGATTTTGCAATGGGAACCCTAAATTAATAGGACACCAGATCATCTAATGCCCACCACTCAATTATTCAGTATGGAGTATGTGAAAAACAACAAAACCCACAAACAAGGTAGATCAGCAAAAAAAATTCCTACTTGGCCCCAAAGCAACCAGCAAATCACATTGATAGCTCAGACAGGCAGGTGCTGCTGCAAAGAGAAGAGGGAGAGGTGTGGATGCCCAGCTCTTAAACAAGGATGTATGCCCCAGCCCCAAGCATAAAACATATGAGTGATGCAGGAGCATCACACAGGCTGTAGCAGCCTGGACAGGATGCCAATATGGCTTACTGCCCATAGGTGGAATACGCAGTAGAACAGGCCTTTAAGTGCAGGGACACACACGCAGAGAGAGAGAGAGAGAGAGAGAGAGAGAGAGAGAGAGAAAGAGCGCTCCTGGGGGTGATTGAAGTCATCTTCACATGCATGGGAATAGAAAGCAAAATAAATTTTAAATATGTAGTATATACTTTTAGAAAAACATCAACAAAAGTTGCTTAAGTTCTATGTCTCTCTTTCATGAACACACAGTGATGGTTTTGTCCTTTCAGAAAGCAGAAAATTTCTTGTGAGCTTTCTAATTGTGTTTTTCATCTCAGTGTTACGCAGAGTAAAGATCATTGAGTTCAGCATTGGTGTTAAAAGGCTGTAGAGGACTGAGGCAACCTTGTCTCCTGGAAATACCTTGAAAGGCCGGTCATAAACAAACATTCCTGGAACAAAGTTTAAGCTCATGACCATGATTTGTGCTGCACAGGTAGAAAGAGCTTTGTGCTTCCCTTCTGTGACATGTGCTCTAATCTTCACCAAGATGACAGTGTATGACACAAGCAAGATGAAGAAGATCAATGTGAGGAGCAGTCCACTGTTGCAAACCATCAGCAACTCTGGGATATACGTATCAGCACATGCCAGTTTGATGAGCTGTGGAATGTCACAGAAGAAATTATCCAGGATGTTGGATTGGCAGAAAGGCAGCTGAATGATAATTCCAATCTGGACGATGGAATGAGCAAAGCCACCCAACCATGACCCAGCTATCAAACCTATGCAAACTTCTCTGTTCATTATAACTAAATATCGCAGTGGCTTGTAGATGGCTATGTACCGGTCTACTGCCATCGCCACAAGTAAGAAGACCACAGCACCCCCAGTTAAATGGATGAAGAAGATCTGTGCAATGCACCAATTGTAAGAAATGGTATTTGTATGGAAGAATAGGTCCCACAACATTTTCAGTGATGTGACTGATGACTCACTGATGTCTATGACAGCCAGGTTGGCTAATAGAAAATACATGGGTGTGTGAAGGTTGGGTGTTCTGATAACGCTGATTATAATGGTGAGGTTTCCAATCCATGTTGTGCTGTAGACAGTAAGGAATAGGAAGAAGAGAACAGACTGTACTCTTGGATTCTGAGAAAGCCCCAGGAGGATAAATTCTGTCACTGCTGTGCTGTTGTTTTCCATGTGCACATCCTGTTGAATGATGTAAAAAAGAAGGGTGTGTTTTTTTTGCAATGATCACTAAGGGGCAATAAAAATCATGCCACCAAATATTGTCCAAAGCAACTTATCAAGTACACCTGCCAGAAAATGTTACATATTAGAAGCTCTTCCTGATTCCAATGATAATATAGGTCATATAATACACTGGGTAACTTAGGTGGACAAAATTTAAGTCCATGTGAATTCAACCATACCTTTATATTGGTAGTATTTATGATCACTGTTATGTTTCAAAATTGAGCTTCTTTTAGATCATGTCATCAGATAACCAATAGTTTCCTATTGTGGCTTGAAGGTTAGAGGCACAGATCATGTTATATTCTAAAGACCAAAAACACTAACTATAATATCATAATATTTTACCATTCCTTTAGTACTGAAAATATTGCTAACTCTGCCATGAGTAGAGCTACTACGACTCTTGCTTCTACTCCTAATAGGATGACAATTCTTGGCACTCTTGTTACTGTATTTCTTTTGAACATTCTTATAAACAGGATTCTGTACTCATGGGTTTTTCTTCCATGTTGTTGTTGTTGTTGTAGTAATATCTGTAACAATGTTTATATATGTAAGGGAGCTGTACGTCGTATCAGTTCTGTGTCTGATAGAACATTTGGTTAGTTGGCCGACACATATTCCATTATGTAGCTATTATATTGTTTACATTTTGGGGAATTGTAAAGATAATGGAAACATGAGTATAAACCACATTCCCTATGTTGGTCTTCCTCATCTCCATCAAAATTTTTTCATATGCTGCCTAATATGCTAAAATGATAATATGCTGCAAAGTGTATTCATATGAATGCATTAACCTATATTTCTATATAGCAAGTTTAATCTTCAAATAATAAACAAAAATATTGTTGAATTTTCCTCAGGGGCACAGTTTTAGACCAGAATATTTAATTTTCTACAACTATATTTCTGAACCAACCATAATTTCAATATGCTCTTGATACCACAACATTCCCATTAGCAGAGCATTTTCTGAGTACAATTAGAAAAGACCAAGCTGATACAGGAATACTTCCATTTTCTTTCTAGAAGCACAGATTCTTTCATTTGGTGGACACCTCTTCAAAGCACACAATTCAGTGCATATAGCCAGTCAAACCATTCACCACCAACTTTTAAGATAATCAGGATCAGGATCAGGCATCCAGAAACTGAAAAAGATCCAAGTCCTATTTATTTTGTTCTTCTTTCCAGAAGCAGATGGGTCCCAATTGCTAGAATGCACAACATATTACTCTGAGATCTTTAAAGTTATTGTCTTTGGTGACCAGGTGGAGAATAGCTCTACAATATCCTGAATAGGGAACTGGGGCTCATTGTCTCTGAATAACAAATGAGAAAATGGATTTTGTGCACCTTGTTGGCTATGACCTTCCCTCCTTGAAAAGGAAGCTTGCTGCAAACTGAGAATGTAATTCAATGGAAGGGGACTACATCCTCAATATATGTCCTATAAATCATCTTTATCTTCAACATACCTTTAAATGTCATTAGACAACTTATGTAGTAGTAAAAGCCAGGAAATGTGGATTAGTTCTTTGGAAGTGGGAACTTCCCAAAAAAACCTCGCGTTCCTTTTCAGCCAAGCACCTCATGATTCTTCAAGAAGTACGCTAAAGTCCCAGCTTTAATAAATGAAACTTTCAGTATGTCAGAGGGAGTGAAGTTAAGTAGGCTTCTCCCTATACAGAAATCACTAACACCTCCGGACATCCTGTGATACCTAAAACAAAAAACCATCACCATCATCCTCAACAACAAAACTATTGATTGAACTATGTGCCTAAAGCTACTTAGTACAGCCAAGGTAATAATAATGCAAAATAATTCCCCAAAAGGCTTGTCTGTGAATCCAGCTGGATTCTTATTAATCTAATAAACAATGGAAGACTCCAGCCACTGCACTCAAGCTTTATCAGACTTCGGAGAATAATGGTATCTGCACTGTGAATCGGGAACAAAACCACAAAGGGGATCATTAAAGATTTTCAAAGCTACAATCAGCTAAATATTGGCACAGACATTACAACAGATATTGTTTCTTTCCTTTTCCTTCTTTTTTTGTGAGCAAGACATACACATACAATTTAACTTACAAGTAATACATAGCTACAGTATTTCTGTGTTATGTACTTATGGTACCTTGGTCCATGTTTATTAGTTGTTTCTGTTTAAGAAGGTATATTTTCAATTTGCTACCTGCTCTGCTCTAAAATGTGGATATTTTAGTGGGGATTTTTATTATTTGACTTTCATTTGTGATATTTTAGGGTATTTTGAACCACGTAGAGATTTTAATAGAAATACAAAGTGACATATAATTTACCTAAATAAATAATTTTTAAAAATACAGCGAAGCCAGTATGGAAAAGAAGTTTAACAGTTAGAGAACCAATCAGAATGTTTGGACTATGACCTGGAAGATGCATATTCAAATCCATACTCATATATGTGGATAACTGGAGGAACTTGGGTCAATCAATATCAGCCTAAACCACCTTACAGGGTCAGTGTGAACAGTATATATTTAAAGCTCATTATTTCCATGAAATAATCTTGTGAACTGTAGTTTATTCCTCACAGAGCTACATTTTCAAAACCCTTATCAAACTATACTTCACAGGATTATTTCAAGGAAATAATTTGCTTTAAATATTCTTGTGAGCAGAAAATTTTATCTAAATACATTTGGCAGGGAAAAAGGCCTAGAATTAAATTTAAATTGCTTACAGATAGAAGAGAAAGAGGAGGTTTTGCCGGCACCGAATTTGAAATTGTATTACGAGCCCTCATGCCTCTGTTGGATTAAAGAATGGAATGTAATAAAAAACACTGACCTACTAGATTTAGAAGGCTTTAACACCAGATTCGGTTGGCACGCATATTTGTGGCATAATAAAGCAAAAGTACATAAAGAATTCTCCAGTCACATCATTAGAGGACCTCTGCTAGAGGTTTGGGAAAGAAATAAAAATCTTCTTGAAAGGAAAACTCCCTGGTGGTTATCACCAATAGATATTTTAACAATTAAAAAAACAAACATAGAAGGTAAGAGATGGACATATGAAGATTTATTGGTGAGAACAGAAAAAGGTTGGCAGATCAAAACATATGAAGAACTAGGAGATAAATTAACGAGTTGGTTACAATTCCATCAAATTAATGCACTGTGGACAGAAGATAAAAAGATCAGGATAAACAAAAAATAATAATCAAGATTCCAGATAGAATACTGGAAGGAAATTCAAAATTCTTATCAAAAATGTATAATCAACTGTTAGAATGGGATACTAAGGATGAGGAAATAAAAGAAGTTGTGGTGAAATGGGCGATAGATCTGGGATATAATTTGAATACGATCGTTGGATTAAGCTCTGGAATAAAGATATGAAGTTCACTGTGTTGCCTTAAGAGAAAACATGGAAAAAATGATGTACAGATGGTTCATCACCCCTGTAAAATTAGGAAAAATCTATAAGAATGGAGATAAAATGTGCTGGAGGTGTAAAAACAAGGAAGGTAGTTTTTACCACATGTGGTGGACTTGTGAAAAAATCAAGAACTTCTGGGAGCTCATTTATAATGAACTAAAAAAAATGTTTAAATATACTTTTGTTAAAAAACCTGAAAATTTTCTTCTGGGAATGATTGGCAATGAAATTAAGAAAGAGGACCGGACTTTATTCCAGTACGCAACAACAGCTGCTAGAATTTTAATCACCCAAAATTGGAAATCAATCAATATCCCAACAGTAAGAGATTGGCAAAGTAAATTATTTGAATATTCAGAATTGGCAAAATTAACACAAAAAATTAGAGACCAGAAAACAAATTTTATTAAAGAATGGAATAAATTCATAACCTATATTGAAGTAGATTTAAAAAATCCAAAGATCACAGTAGGCTTAATATAACCCTTCGACTTACAAAAGTTTTAAAGAAAAACTGCGGGGGAAATGTTTTACATAACCCAAAACTGAGGTGGAGGGAAGTCAATAATTTACATGTTTGTCTTGGTTTTTTTTTTTGTTTTTTGTTTTCTTATAATTAAGTTATGTTGTTCTTATTATTGTGTTTTTTTCCGTGACGAATTTATTTTCTGTACATATGTGCGTATATGTGTGTATGAAAATTAATAAAGAGAAATTTTAAAATAAATAAAATAAATATTCTTGTGAGAATAGGTGCAAGGAGGAGAACCATGTTTACACTTTTTAGAGGGAAAGGGGACGCGTGTGTGCAGTACACAGAAAGTACATAGCTTTGTTGAAAGCCATTTTGTCTTTGTTCAAAATTCTTCAGATCCCTGTTCCATGCTAACACGAGGTCCTACACTTGATTCAAAAAAATTGCTTTAGGTAAAACTCTTGGCAACTTAGGAATGCATGAACTCACCACATTAAGTCATTAAGTCATTTCATACACGTGTCACTGTTTCATGATTGCTAGTCAATGGGACAAAGAGAGGCCAAGAGTGGGGTAAAACAAGGCAACAACTTTATTGGTTGTTATTATATTATGTGTTGGCATGGCATACAGGCAGGGATCCTGGCATCTGCTGCTGGCTGATGCCTCTCACACACCCTAGTGTGTCGACTCAGAACTCAAAGAGGAAGGGAGTGGGCCACATTGCAAAGGCTATGCTTGATGGGGCCCAACCCATGGCGTTGGTGTGAGGCAACCATTCTCAGCCGCCCTGAGTTGAATCTGAGACTGTACATGACTCCACCCAAGACCCCTTATCAGGGTTCCTTTATTTGGCTATGGATTATGGCCCATACTTCTCCCATGCCAAAAATTAAAAGTTGTGACACAGTGTTACTTCAAACCACTTTTTTAATTACAAAGCTGTATATGTTGTAATAAAGAATATACTAAAAACAAAGCAAAAAATAATAATATGTAGATACCAACGTCCAAAATTGGACTTAGACACAGATTTGAGGGAGGGCAAAGAATGTATATAACATGCTGTTGAAATGTGTACAAGAATAAAATGTAATTTTAATCTCACACGTAGATAGTGTATCCCCAAAGACTACCTTCTTTTCTGCACCTCTGTCAAAAAGTTACCCACTGTGACAAAGTGTGGGTTCTTGCCAAAAACAACTTGTCTTGAAATTATTCAGATATTTCCTCTGAGGAGGAAAATATATAGCCATAATGGATGTTTACTTCAGCTAAAATTGAGTGGCAAATCTAAGAGTACCCATTCTCAGTGAATTTTCAAATTGGATCACTATAACTCTATAACACCATATAACTGTAACACTAAAACATCTTCAACAGTCCCTGTAAAACCGAGACTGTTTTGGGCACTGCAATATCCCCCTCCCTCCAAAAAGCACTTTTGGGGCCTATGTTTTTGGATCACCCCTCAAAAAAAGTGTCTTTTGGGGCCACAATATTGTGTGAGTTATTTGACTTGCGTGGGTTAGGGTTCTGAGAACAGCAGTCTCTATGAGTAAGATGTCATTTTGATTCAGTTATTTTGAATAACATATTATTACCAACCAGTTTTCGAATGCTGTTTTTCATTTCTGTGTTCCTCAGAGTGAAGATTATTGGATTTAGCACTGGAGTGATTGCAGTGTACAAGACCGAGGTTATTTTGTCCACTGGAGATACCCGGAAAGGGCGGTCATAAATGAACATTGCTGGAACAAAATGTAAGCTCATTACTATGACCTGTGCAGAACATGTAGAAAGGGCTTTGTGCTTCCCTTCTGTGACATGCATTCTAATCTTCACCAAAATCATAGTATATGATACAAGTAAGATAAAAAAGATCAGTGTGAGAAGCAGTCCACTGTTACAAACCATCAGTATTTCTGTAATGTATGTGTCTGTGCAAGCCAGTTTGATTACTTGCGGAACATCACAGTAAAAGTTGTCCAAAATGTTGGGCCCACAGAATGGTAACTGAAGTACCAGTGCTACCTGGACAATAGAGTGAGCAAAGCCACCCAACCATGTTCCAATAACCAAGCCTATGCAAGCTCCTTGGTTCATAATAAGTAAATATCGCAGTGGTTTATAGATAGCTATGTACCTGTCAACAGCCATAACAACTAGGAAGAAGACCACAGCACCTCCAGTGCAATGGAAGAAGAACATTTGGGCAATGCACCAGTTGTAGGAGATGGAATTTGTATGAGAGATGAGGTCCCACAGCATTTTGAGTGCAGTTACTGTGCAATCACTGATGTCTATCACAGCCAGGTTGCATAAAAAAAAGTACATAGGTGTGTGGAGGTGGGGGGTGTAAATCACTGTAATTATAATGGTGAGGTTCCCAAGCCAGGTTATGATGTACATGGTGAGAAAGATAAAGAAGAGAATGGACTGAACCTTTGCACTCTGAGAGAAACCCAAGAGAATGAATTCTGTCACTGTTGTATTATACTTCTTCAGAGCCATTTGGTGTCCTTACAATATAGCTGCAAAGGAAGTTATCATAGTGAGAGCATTCACTTTTTCAATAATAACAAAAATATTTGGAAAAAGAAAGTTTCTTTATGTCCATGATTTATTTCTATCAAATGTTCATTGTGAATGGGAAATTCAGTGTTCGTTACAGCAGTGAAATAAAAAGGCCTTCCAGTATTATTTAAAGCACTGGCATCTATGAAGTGGGCCTGGACCCACTACAGTGGTACCTTGGTTCTCGAGCTTAATCCATTCCAGGAGTCTGTTCGTCTCCTGAAACCATTCAGAAACCAAGGCATGGGTTCCACTTGGCTGCTGGAGCTTCCTGCGCTCAAGCAAAAGCCCGCTGAAAAACATTCACAAACTGGAACACTTACTTCCGGGTTTGTGGTGTTCAGGAGCCGATTTGTTCGGCAACTAAGCTGTTTGGGAACCAAGGTTCCACTATACCGGGTTACAGCTGGACCTAAGGTAGGTCGCATCAGCAGCAGCACTACAACCATATTAATATATAACAAAAAAGATGTAGATCCCCAAATACATGAAATAAAGTTGGATCTTGGCTCTTAAAATGTTGAAGAATGCCATTTTCAAGAGCACCAGTAATTGCCCAAAATCTAGGCCAGCCCAATAATTTTTTTTGCCTGTGGTGAAGGACAAGATGATCAACTTTCCAGTATCACAAGCCAAACATTGAATCTAATTTCATATCCGGTTATGGGGCTGTGGTCATCACCACACCTCAGGACAGTACACTAGTTTAGAAAGCACAGGGCAGGTTTGAATTTGCTTCAACCACTCACTACCACTCCCTGCCCCTCAGCATATGCCACATAAGATAGCTATCTCAGTCTACCTAAAGGTTCTAGCCCTTTCCACAATCCACCTTTGTGTGTGTAAGTAGTTCCTCAATATTGATAGACTATATTAGGCAAGTTGTTGTGATACTATTACTTAGGCTACTTGAAGGAGCAGGGGCCACAGGACATTTAGAGAAGCAGTACTATGTTCCAGGAAAGGAGAAGATCCTGCATTGACACACTTGATGATGGAAACTACAGAGATACATATTTGGAAGAAACCTGAGAAACCTAATACTAGCTCTATTCTTATGCCATCATTTAATTCAGCGGTCCAGTCCACAAATCCTTACTCCAGACTTTCACAACCTGGTGTTCTACCAACGTTGGATTCCCACTTCCATCAGCCCAGCATGTCCGATGGTTAGAGAGTTAAGAGTCCATCAACATCTAGAGAACACCAAGTTGGGCTAATACACAGAGAGCAGTGCATGACAAAATTTGGTTTGCTCATCTTAATGCAAACTGTGAGAGGTGATTCAGTTTTCTCTGGGATTCAAAACATGAGAAATACAGAATCACCCCTAGCTTGTATCTCAAGCTCAGGATTAGAGGTCCTGTGGCCCTCCAGATATTGATGGAGTCCAGTTCTCATCAACTTCAGCTTGCCTCACTATTTGTCAGGGATGGTACAGCTAAAGACCAACAACAGCTGTTCTGGAAAGCACAGGTTCCCCATCCTTGCCATAGATTACAATTTCCAATTGACAAAGTGAGGTTCAGATGATTTTCTAATTAGCAAAAAGTAGATGTTCTGTTGTCTTACCTGTTTCAGCTACTTCACATAAGATTTAGAAGCGGCTTCACAGTGGGTGAGTTTAAAATCCACCTCTGTCATGGTTCCAACAAATTATCTCTCTTGTTATGACTTCAGACTGTTTGCTTCGGTTCACCATATTTCTTTAGCAGCTTTAGAGACCATACCAGTATAAAACCTTTTTACTTCAGTTTCCATTGTGCATTTTCTTGACAAATGTGTGAGAAGCAGGAAGAGAAAGCAAACTTTTGAAGACAAAAATCTTATGGATAGAAATCATTAGCTGAGAGTTACATTTTGGAATGCAATTTTCATTCAACTGTATACTGAAGCAGCATTTCGTAAACAAGGCCAAGCTGAAAACTCTCTAAGTTTCCAATGCAGGAGAAGAGAGATAAACTGATAAACATTTGTTTGCAGAAAATTTTGAATTCTGCTATATTGTTGTATGAACCACCAATCTCTGAGTGGTGCAAGATTCAGGGGTTCTGGGTGCTTACCTAGTTTTGGCTTCACTGGAATGAGGAACAGTGGACACTGTGGTGTCTTTATGATATATGGTTGTTTTTACATATATATGCAACCTGAGCCTATGATGTAGCATTAACACCCCAGTATGGTGTTGCTTCTCCCATAGCCACAGCCTTGGATTCCAGCAGAAATCAGGCATGGCTCTGTCCCTGAGCTGCCTAGCGTGCAGCCTCCTGCTTCTAGCTTCTAGCTCTCTTGCACCTTAACTCTGGTTTTTGTCTTTGTAACTACCAGATAGTCGAGGTGCCTTCTGGTGAGAGCCACTTCCTTTGTTACCTTAACAACCCATACTCAGGCACGATTACCAAGAATCATGTCTGGCTGTTCCAGCAGTGGGATCCTGGTTGGATCCAGGAATTAGAAGAGACTCAGCCATACAGCCTATCCACTCCACCCCCCAAAAAAGAACCACCTCACAACAATATTCTTCTCAAAGGCAGCTTTGAAAGTGAACAAGGCACACAACTGAGAGCTTCCAACATCCTATCTAGGTCCCCATTTCCTAGATCAATGATGCAATACACTTATTGTCTATTCATTTGTTCCAGTGTTCATCCATCACAGTTTTACAAAGTAATCTACAATCCTTCCTGACACAATGGCGTTATCAGAGGCTGCCTTCAGTGTATAGAGAGATAACAAATAGCTGTTTTCAAATGGCATTATGGGGGTGGAGAAACATTCAATGAGCACATTGTGGTCTTCTTATTCTCTTACCTTTTTAGAGAGCAGCACTGAGCTTCCCCAAATACCCAAGTTATTGCTTTCAGGATTTTTGCCTTGGACCTCAAGGGATTTCATTAACAAGGGCATATATTTTTAAAGGTCCCCTCTCCCATTGTATTTTATGATAATTCTCAGGTGTGCTGATATGAACTTCCTGTGAGAATGTGCAGAGCCACACACTTGCACCTCAATGAGTTTTGACAGAATATAATGCTCTTCTAAAATTAGGGATACTTCTTTGGCAGCTCCACACCTATACAGAATATATCAGTGCCACGATTTAATTTACTGGCTCAGTCCACAAATCATTACATCTTTCCTTCATTACCACTGACACCCTTCTTGTTGGTTACCCACTCCAGTAAGCTCTAGCCAGCATGTCCAATGGACAGAGAGTTGGAGCCCATCAACATATACAAGGATACTGAGTTGGGAAAATAAGACTATACCCACAAAACTGTGCAAAATACAATGTTGTTTGCTCAACTGAGAGGAAGTTATGTCTGTTGTTTCCCTCTGCAGGAGCTTTGTTATGGGTTTAAATAAGAAGGTCCAAGTTCACCCCAGGTTTTGTTCCTGTCTCTTGATTTGGCCTTGAGGTTGCAAAAGATCATGATACTTTAAGGCTTTTACTTTTATTTAAAACACTTATAATTAGCACCAAAATGAAGAGCTGGTGTATAACTCTAGTAAATAAAAAAGACTTAGATTAAAATATGCCCCCCAACCCTCCCCTTTAAATCACAAAAGACATGGGTCAGTCAAATTTAGCCACTTTAATACCATTGAAGCAGAGGAGTAAAAGCACCTATTTATTTATTCTTTTTTTGAACAAAAATATTCACTTTCACTTCTTCCAGGTTACACACAGAGTGGGAAGGCGCACATACATGGTAATAACTACATTTTATCTTTGCAACAACCTTCAGAAGTAGGCAAGAGTAACAGAAATTAAGGAACCCAAGTTAGTTCTCTGTCTAGGTGGAGATTTGAATCTGGTCTTCATGGCCTATGTCCAACATACTACAAGCTGTCTTATACTGACTCTCTCCCATTTAAATAAAAGAATCCTAAAACTCCAATTGATGGAATATCCTGTAACATTCATTTCTTAAGAAACATTATGATTTTACTGAATGAAAGTTTCAGGCAATCCTTCACCTTCTCATTCCTGAGACAATATATGAAAGGGTTTAGCATGGGTGTCACTATTGTGTTCAGTACTGTGCCTATTTTGTTGAAATCCAGAACGTTCCCTTTGGTTGGACGGACATAAATGACAATTGAGCTCCCATAATACAATGATACCACAGTGATATGAGAAACACAGGTTGAGAAAGCTTTCTTTCGACCTTGTGTTGATGGTATCTTCAATACAGCAACAATAATATAAATATAGGACACAACTGTTATAAGAAGTGAACCCAGAAGCAATATGCAAGATGTCCCAAAATCAACCTTTTCGGCCAATGATGTGTCAGCACAGACAAGCTTGAGCAAGGGGGCGCTGTCACAGAAGAAGTGGTTGACTATATTTGGGCCACAGAATGGAAGGCCAGCTGTTACAATGCTGGGAACTAGAATAATCAGAAAGCCACCAATCCATGATCCCAAAAGGAGCTGGAAACAGGCATTTCTGTTCATGATGGATGCATAGCGCAATGGGTAGCATATTGCAACGTAGCGATCAAATGACATTACAGCCAGAATGAAGAATTCAGTTGAGCCCATGAGGAAATAGAAGAATGACTGAGTAAGGCAGCCTACAAAGGAGATGGTCTTCTTCCCCGTGATAAAATTTATTAGCATTTTAGGCATGACAGCTGATGTGATTATGAGTTCCAGGAATGAAAGGTTAATCAAGAAAATATACATGGGCAATTGAAGCTGGTGATTGGCCAGGACTAGTGCAATTAATGCAACATTACCGATAATGGTCAATGCATATATAATCAGGAAGGCAATGAAGATCAGAATCTCAGCAGAGCGGATTGTCTCAAATCCCAAAAGGATGAACTCAGTCACAATAGTCTTATTATATTTCTCCATATTTTCATGCATTCTATTCTATAGGAAACAATGTATTAGGAAAAGAAAGGGGGAAAAAGAAACAGAGTGGTTCACTAGGCATGTGCAGCAACCACAAGATTGACTCTTAATCCATATTCATAGTATTTGGAAGCAGCTTGATTGGTGCTGCATCCAAAACAGTTGTTCTGCTTCTGTGTTCTGCTTTGATTTGTTATTTGGAGCAAAATTTTATATGAAATATGAAGCCCTGTTTTGCTCCCATTGAGTATAATGGAAAATCTCCCACCAGGAATCAGCCCCTACCCTCTCTTCAATATCCCTTCCCCATTTGATTTCTGGGTGTTTTCTCAGTCAGCTTCTTTGTATCTCAGAAGAAAAATGAAGTTGTCATTATTGAATGTCAAATCAGGAACTCAATGCCAAATTTGATGAACCAACCAAATTTTTTGAACCAACAGGACTCTTCTTATGTCCTTATGAGGGGGTCAGCTGATATAGTTTTGAAACCAAATTCTTAAGTGTTGATGGATGATCTTGTACATTGGATCTGTAGCAGGTGGATTTCTTGGAAATTACAAAATTAAGGAAACATTTTTTAAAAAATCATGTTTTATTTATAATGCATTTCTAACTCAAGAACAGAAAGTTTTCTTATGTTTCAAATTGATGATTTGGGTCATCAAAGAGATACATGTGTTAAAGGGTATGGGAAAACCCAGGGGTTAATTTTAGACTCTGGATGTAGTGCTGTTATGAGGTCCGCATTAAATTATCAGGAATGTTACTTCAGTTGTGAAACACACTATTAATATTATTTTCTCTTCCCCCTCCCTACAACATTCTGCTTAATTCCTGATCAGTTATTGAATGGAGCAATACAGCCAGGACCAGTGGAGTCTGAAACTCCACTTGCCAAAGAAATAGTATTTATGTACTAAATGTTTTACAACTCAGACCTAAACATGTATACAAAAGCTATGTTGCCCCAGCCCCATGGTTAAAGTGGCAGTGGTGGTGGTGGGGAATAATTAAGTTCATGTTCAAAGCAAATGTACCTAATTCACATTTTCCAAAACTATATGAAAACTGAAACACAGCCATCCTTCATAATTCACATGTTTTTGAATTTCACAGTGCAGTTAATCAGTCATGTGCCGTTAGCAAAAAAAGAAGCATTTACTAAGGTCAATAGTGCATGAAAATGCATATATTAGTGAAAATAGCATTAAATACATTATAAAAGAAGTATATTGAGCAAAGTTTCACATAAAATTGTTTATATTAGGAGAAATGGACACTAAAGTGGTGATAAAATTTCATGAGATCTTTTTAAATAGAAACTGATGCGGAAACATGGAGAACTGAGAAAGTGAGGGAAACCAAAATTGGTCTATGATACTACATTTGGGCAGAACTTGTGTATCCAATCTCAGGCTCCTCTTTTATAACATAGCAATTATCAGCCTACGTCTAATAACTCCGCATAAATCTCTAAAAGTCATCTGATGATACAGAAAGAGATCATATTCCAATAGCAGGATTTATGATGCTTACCTTTACAAATCCCAGCAGGAAAAAAGTGGAAGGACAAACAGTGAGAGTCTTATTTTTGGATATTCCAAATATGTCCCTGCAGAAGTTCTAACAGAAAGAGAATATCAGATTAATGGAACCAAATGCTCCCTATACCCAATAATTTGGAAACTTCTCTGTATTTCTCATCAAGTTTTCTTTAATTGTGTGTGTGTGTGTGTGTGTGTGTGTGTGTGTGTGTGTATTGCGGATATTCAGTGTGTTAATTATTTCAAAAGTTATACTACTATTTAATGATTCAAGCCAAATTAATGCTAATGATGATGATAAAAATGTATACCACAATGCCTGCTTGTTTCTATTCAACTTCATCCATAGAAAGACAACATTGGCCGATATTTCAAGATACCCTGAGTCTGCAAAGAGGATGAAAAGATAGCAGGTTTCCTTATATTATCACTGACAAGTCCAAAGTATTAATTATTTCATCTTCTAAAATCATGCAATGAACCTCTGGGAAGCAATTAAAAAACTGCTATCCAGAGATTAAGAATTTCATATTCTTTTTTTTAAAGTACAAAATGTACAATTATTATGGATTGAATCAAGATTAAGGGCTCTTCCATTTGTCCTGTACCTAGAATTATGGGACTGAGTAGTTTCCCCCTTGCTCCACACCAAAAAAACCACACCATTATTTAGCTCTAAACTGGAGCAACCCTCAATCTGGAGAAACTCAAAAATGCTGTTTGCTCTGCTTGAGCACTAAGAAGTGGTTTTCCCCAGGTGTCTGCCCCAATCAGCAGTCTAGCTGCTGCATTAAGCACCAGCTGGAGCTTCCAGAACAAGCCCACGGGCAACCTCACACAAAGTGCAATATAAATTTGCAAATACATCACATGGGTTTCATTAAATATAATGTGAACAGATAAATATACCAGTAGGGGACTGAATTTTTGAAACTGAAAGTTCAGACCTGAATATTAGAAGGGGTTGATAGGTTGGCTGGAAGGAGAGTTTCAAATCAATACCCTTCTATTGCACTTCAAGGGGAAAAGTGAATTTTTGTAAAGCTACACCAAGCCAGTGTGGTTGCCATTTTCTGCTCTATTCCAAGGAGATGTTTGAAAATATATTATGATCATCCCAATGAAAATGATGGCAATCCGCCCAATGGAAATAAGGTTTGTCTCCGACAACATTGAAATTTGACTTTTGTCTCATACAGTAGCCAATCTCTGATTTTTTGTGTGATATGATATCAGTCCTGCAATGAACAGAAAGTCAACTAATAAGAGGTTACACTTAGGATTAATAACTCTTTTTTCCAATTAGGACCTTTCTTGTGTTCAGATCAGATCTTAGAACAATGATGTAGCATTTTGGAAGAAATATGCAAAGCAAGAGGCCAGTGTTGGAGGCCAAGATGGCAAAAACTTCCACAGCCACTATGTATTTCCTCTTGGTGCTCAGGTAACCCGGAATGAAGGAGATCCAAACACTGCAAAACACCAGCATGCTGAAAGTGATGAACTTGGCTTCATTGAATGTATCTGGCAGTTTCCTGGCCAGGAAGGCTACTGTGAAGCTGATCATGGCCAAAAAGCCCAAGTAGCCCAAGACACAGTAGAACATGGTGATGGAACCTTCATTACATTCCAATATAATATGTCCAGCCTGTGAGTGCATGTCAGCTTTGGGGAAGGGAGGAGAAGTTAACAGCCACACAATGCAAATACCCACTTGAATGAGCGAGCAGAAAAGAACAATGGAGGTGGCTACTTTCTGCCCTAGCCATTTCCTCATGCTGTTGCCTGGCTTTGTGGCCAGGAAGGCCAGGACCACCATGATGGTTTTTGCCAACACACAAGAAACTACAACAGAGAAAATGATGCCAAATGCTGTTTGCCAGAGTAAGCAGCCCAGCTTCCCAGGCTTGCCAATGAAGAGAAGGGAAGAAAGGTAGCAAAGCAAGATGGAGGCAAGCAGAACACAGGTGAGGTTCCGGTTGTTGGCTTTGACAATAGGGGTAGTCCAGTTTTTTAGAAAAATGTGCATTACCAAAACTGTTAATGCAGCAAAAAAGATAACAAGAACAACCAAGACAATGCCCAAGGGCTCGTGATAGGCAAGGAAGCTCAGAACCTTTTGAATACATTTGTTTTTGTTCCTATTTGGATATTGATCTTCTGGGCATTTTAGACAATGAACTGCATCTGAAAGGGACCAAGAAAGTGTCAGTAGGTGTTCCAATTGTTATACCTTTATTAGTTTGCATAAAGTTGAAGGTGTGTCAATTTAATGCTAGATAATAATGACTCCCCGTTTCACAACTAACTGAAAGAAGATGCTTCCAGTCCAAGTTATACAAACTTTGGCTAGTGGTAAGTCCACAAAACATATTAAAATTTTATTCTGTATATCCATGGAAAGGATAGAACTTTTAGTCACTAGTGGGCATAAGTGTACCTAAATATGTGTGGTCAATTTCTTTGATGATATTTCCCTTTTGTGTACATATTTAATTGCACTCAGCTCATATAATTATAGAATTCAGTTTATAGGACTGTAGAGACGGAAAGAACCATGAGGATCATCTAGCCCAACCCCCTGCAATGCAGGAATCTCAGCTAAAGCATCCATGACAGATGACCAACCAATCTCTGCATAAAAACATCCAAGGAACGAGAGTCCACCACCTCCCAAGAGAGTTCATTCCACTGTCAGACAGCTTGTTTAGCTGGAATCTCTTTTCGTGTAACTCGAAGACATTGGTTTGGGTACTACCCTCTGGGAAAGGAGAAAACAACCTTGCTGCTGCTTCCATGTTACAGCCCTTTAGATATTTGAAGTTGGCTATTGTATCTCCTCTCAGTCTGCATATCACCTACCTGTCTCATTAGAAAACATGTCTTCTGGGCATGGATTACAGCCATAACAACAACTTGGTTTGCCTTCTTGAACCATCCTTTGCTGTCCATGGTGACAGCGCTCTACACACCTAGAACTTGGTGGTAACTAATGATTAGAAAACAGATATTATGTCACATCCAAATTTTCATACAAATACAGCTGTATTTCTATTCTACCTGATAACCCAATAACTTCTTGCTCTGATCAGCTGAATAATTATTTAATGTCATTGACAATACATTTTCAGGAGAAATATCAGTGGGGATAGACAAACAACCACCAATGGCTCAGGGATTTATATGATGATTGAAGAGTAATTTCAGGAGGATGGGCAAATTTTGGGGTTTCTTGCAGTCTCAACTACAATAGAGTGTTTGTGTACAGTCATGTTTTCACACTGCACTTGACTCTGAGAGCAACAGGACATCATCAAGTCCCGTTGCTCTATTTAAGGCACACAGAAGAAAGAAGCCCAGCGCACTCACGGCTCCTATGAGCAAGTGGGTAGAAACAAATAATCATAATCATAATAAAAGTACAAGACAAGTGAAGAAGCTCGTGGGCTAGCTCATAAAGGGATTCGTGGGACTGCAGATTTATAGGATTCATGATCTGTTTTGCTTCAGCTGAGTCCACTTTGAAATCCAAGTTCTGTGGGTTTCTGCTCTGTCCCTACTTCCAAGAACATTAATCTTACCTCTAAGATCCATGGGCAACAGTGCTGTAGCATCTGGACAGTAACATATTTTTATTCAGTTGTGACTATAAGCTGCTAAGTATTTTCCTACCTGTTTAAGTCTGTCGTTCCACACAACATCTATCCCAGTGAGGGTGAACTCATGGTTTGGGGGAAAACTTGCAAACTTGGGTTTAATGACAGAGAAATTGGGGTAAACGATCCAGTTGATGATATCATAGCCAGCCGAAACTTCTCCATATTCAATCAATACTTCATGCCCTGCACCATTGTTAAAATGGATGTTTTTCAGTATGGAATTCAGCTGAATTGGAAGAAAATAGAAGAAACAAATTCTGAAATTGTCCATTATTTATTTTGCAATTCTGTCTTGGGAGCAAGTCTCATTGAACTCAACAGGACTTATATCTGCATAGACAGATAGAACATATTGAAAGAGCAACCGGAACCCTGCAGGATTTATGACTTAGCTCAACAGCTGTTGCACAAAGGCATCAATCCTGCAGGGTGCTGCTTCAAGGAAGGGGTATCAGGCAGGAAGGAAAGTCAGGGCTCCTACCTTCTCTTGGGAAGATTCAGCCAGTGGTAAGGTAGGTTTTGGCTTTTCCACTGGTTTTTCCACTTATTCCCTCCCTTCCTCCCTCCCTCTCTTTCTCTTTCTTTCTTTCTTTCTTTCTTTCTTTCTTTCTTTCTTTCTTTCTTTCTTTCTTTTTGATAATCTATCCCCCCCCCCGACAGCCCTAGATCTTTCTGGCCCATCCAACCTAATCTACAGTGGTTTGTGGCTGTCACAAACCAACTCAACCAGTGCCTACAAATAGACACAATTTGGCTCAGGGATCAGCCAAATCCAATACATAGTAGGAATAAATCTTCATTCCTTTATGCCTTAATAGTTCTGTTCCCTTTTCAGGAAACGGCATCTTAAGAGAGCCAGTGTGGTGTAGTGGTTAAGAGCAGTAGACTCGTAATCTGGTGAACCAGGTTTGATTCCCTGCTCCTCCACATGCAGCTGCTGGGTGACCTTGGGCTAGTCACACTTCTCTGAAGTCTCTCAGCCTCACTCACCTCAAAGAGTGTTTATTGTGTGGGAGGAAGGGAAAGGAGATTGATAGCCACTTTGAGACTCCTTAGGATAGTGATAGGGATGCAGGTGGCGCTATGGGTTAAACCACAGAGCTTAGGACTTGCCAATCAGAAGGTCAGCGGTTCGAATCCCAGTGACGGGGTGAGCTCCCGTTGCTCGGTCCCTGCTCCAGCCAACCTAACAGTTTGAAAGCACGTCAAAGTGCAAGTAGATAAATAGGTACCGCTCCGGTGGGAAGGTAAACGGTGTTTCCTGCTCTGGTTCACCAGAAGCGGCTTAGTCATGCTGGCCACATGACCCGGAAGCTGTAGGCCGGCTCCCTCGGCCAATAAAGTGAGATGAGTGCCGCAACCCCAGAGTCGGTCACAACTGGACCTAATGGTCAGGGGTCCCTTTACCTTTACCTTTACCTTTACCTTTATAAAAAGGTAAAGGTACCCCTGCCCGTACGGGCCAGTCTTGACAGACTCTAGGTTTGTGCGCTCATCTCACTCTATAGGCCGGGAGCCAGCGCTGTCCGCAGACACTTCCGGGTCACGTGGCCAGCGTGACAAGCTGCATCTGGGGAGCCAGCACAGCACACGGAACACCGTTTACCTTCCCGCTGGTAAGCGGTCCCTATTTATCTACTTGCACCTGGGGGTGCTTTCGAACTGCTAGGTTGGCAGGCGCTGGGACCGAACGACGGGAGCGCACCCCGCCGCAGGGATTCGAACCACCGACCATGCGATCGGCAAGTCCTAGGCGCTGAGGTTTTACCCACAGCGCCACCCACATCCCAGTTACCTTTATAGGGTAGTGATAAAGCAGGATACCAAATCCAAACTCCTCCTCCTCCTCTTCTTCTTTTTCTTCAAAGTTTACTGTGCACATGAATACAGCATAGCAGACTTCCCTAATTCTCTTATAAACTCACCAGCATGCAAAACATTGACATATTTGTTTATTTGTATTTGATTCTCTAAGTAAACAGTTTTCCTCATTAGACATCATGTCAAGCTCATAGACTTTATTATGGCAATGTATTTACCTGCCATGATGGACTATTCAGCTGTTCAATTCTGTCTCTTCTTGGTCTTGACTCATAGATGGCATGTAAAGCATGGGCTACAGCATAGACAGCATTGTAGATACCATAGGTCTCACCAGTCATATCCATATCAAATGTATACTCAGACAGATATTCCAGTTTCTCTTTGCCTGTGCACATATTACTTTGTGAATAGCGTGAAAAGCTGTCTTCATAAAAATAACAAATGAAAGCAGTTGACCAGAAATACATGAAAAAGCGAATCACTGGCTTATCAGACATAAAGCTCCCAAGAAACTCATGGAAACCTGGCACAGGCTTTTTGTGGACTGAAAAAGAAAAAGCACCACTGTACGTTTCCGGAGGTGTTACAAATAAACCAATATGCTGTTTGAAATCCCACCGAGCAGTTATGATCCAAACTTTCCCAGGATTGATCTCCCAATTTTGTCCCATGAGGTTTTGTAATCCACTCATCGAATTATAGTCTCCACTGACTATTACCACATTTATCTCACTTAAGAAAAGTTCTGTATATAACTTTGACATATAGTTGCGATAAGTTTCATGCCACACATATTTTGATTCTCCTACTTTATACTGGTGGGCAACACAAATGCCATACTGCAGAAGCAGAGATGTCAGGATCTGACCAAAGCTTTCTCCATCATCATCATTTGAAACAATGAGCCCAACCCATGTCCATCTGAAATGGAAAAGTAGCTGAGTAATTCCAATGGGTTGAAGAGTTTCTCTTGGTGACATTCGATACAAAAATGGGAAATTTGTTGTACCTCTAAGTGTAGACTCATACGCACCATAGTTAAACTGATGGAGAAAAAACAGTGCTGATGAGAGCAAAGAAATAGCACATGTCTGAGCTGTTGTTGGGAGCTCCTAGAATCTAATTATACTATTAACTTTCAATATATGAAATGCATAATTTCCCCCCACTGCATAACTAATATTAGCAAGTAATGTTGGCATAATACTTCCCAGCCAGCATAATCATGAAGTGGTGCAAACTTAAATTTCTGCAAAAAAATATATTAAAAAGTTTCAATGCTTTAGACAAAAGGAATGGATTAAGTGTGGACTCCCACACAGACTCACTGGGGAGTTAGCCCCCTTGAATTCAATAAGACTTGCTTCTATAAAGACATGGGTTTGCATTTTAGGATCGAGTGTGGGTGGGTAATTTCAACTTTCTCCTCCCAAACCAAGACAAAGTGTATAGCCTTAATTTATTTTAATTACATGTTGTGATAGCTCAGTCAGTAGAGCATGAGACTCTTATTCTATGTTTAATAATTCTTTATATTAAATTTCCATGTTCTGAGATTACAGAGGTGAATTCAATTAGCCCAGTGGTTAAATACCCCATCTCTTTTATTGATCAACACCCCGTTCTCATGTCACAGCACAGGAAGGAGTGTTTCTTATCTGAATTTTTGTTGATGATGTTACTGTTAGTATCTTGGCTCACAGTCAGAGGTACCTGGCCTCCCCCAAGGCAATTGAGCGAGATACTGTGTTTACCATCCGTCTGCGACTGCCGGCAGGCTAGGTAAACAAACCCGGCGATTCTTCTCATTAGTCGTGAGAAGAACACACCCTCTGCTTCTCTCTCCTTGCTTTCCCCCCCAGGAGGGGAAATGAGACAGACAGGAGTCTATTTACATGACTTTTTATTCCTGCCATTCAGCAGTACAGAGAAACGTGTCTGTACCCTTCAGACTCCATTAGAAGAGACACACTCCGCCCCTGCACTTCCAGCACAGGTCAGAATACACTCTGAGCTAACATCCGGTGCTCAGTACAGAGAATAGGCTCCACCTTTTCTCCAACAGTACATCTGCAAACCACAACATCCTGTTTTGCATTCCAGCCATCTGGAGCTGGCTTTTGCCTTGGTGCTTTTTCCTGACATCCTCCCCCAAAAGCATCAATGGGCAAAACATGATCCAGAGAAGAAAACAAACAGTTGTTATAAATATAACAGTCCCCTGTTGTTTCAGTTCCACCCTCGGAACTCCCCACCACTGGTTTCACCAGTGTACCTCTCTGGTTGTTTGGCTTCCAAGGAATGAGTGCTTCTGCATTACCTTGGCTAGCTACTCTCTGTTGTGTCTTTGTCTCTGAATTAGACACTGCTTTAACCTGCTTTGAGTTGTTAACAATAGCAACACATGCAACAGCTATGTTAGCAAACTCTTTTGAGTACCTCTTCGGTGGTACACCCTTTGTAACTCTCTCAGACCTACGTGTGAGGTGCTGATCCTCTGTGCTCACTGGTTCAACCTCTGGACTTTGTTGAGAACCAGTAGCATTGGCAAACAGTGGTTCTTCCTTCACCTGTGAAGGTCTATCCATTGTGTGAGATTTTCTCTCAATGACTGTTACAACTGAACTTTCTGAGCTATCAGTGTCATCGTCAGTACCACTGTAATCTGTGACATCAGAAAAATCATCATCATCTGAATTGCTCTCTGTGGGATATGTTTGTTCTGCAACCCGCTCTTTTTCTGGACCAGATTCAGACAAAATTACTCTATAGAGACCCTTTTCATAACCCACAAAAATGCCTCTGGCATTCTTTACTCCACCTGGAGCTTCTGTTCTCACATGAGACCCGAAAACCTTAAAATAGGCAACAGAAGGTTTTCTTTGGAACAGCTTCTCAAAAGGAGAACATCCCAACTCTGTTGAGACTTTTCTCAACCACACGTGAAGATAGGACGCTAGCGACTCGGCCCAATATTCATGTGGCAAATGTGAACTCAGCAATTGCGCATGCATCCCCTTTTGCAATTCTTTGTTCACTTTCACACAAACCCCTCTGTTCCACGCTTCTGGCGAAACAGAAACTTTGTGGTCTATCCCGTTTACATCCAGGAACTTCTGAAACTTCTGTAACAGAAAAACTTGCTTGTCATCTGTGAAAAGACAATCAATGTTAGCATCATGCATATTTTTAACCTTGTCACAAAACTCCTGAAACTTTTCTAAAGTTTCCTGCGGTTTCTCCATCAAATAAACCCAAGAATAATTAGTGAAACAATCCACACACACAAGGTAATATTTTGCACCGCCCCTAGATGGTTCTAGAGGACCAATCACATCAGCATACACCCGCTGAAATGCTCTGTCGACCTTCTTAGTCACCTTCCTGGTGTTCGAGTTGGTCACACCTGCAAGAGAAATTTCGTTAGAATCAGAAGAATTACATTTCATGTAATCACTTTGATCAAAAGTCAACAAATACAGTCCATCTTTCTCTTTGGCAGTAAGAAACAGTTCTCCATCTTTGTAGATCTTGCAGCTTTTAGCATCATAGGACAGTTTCAGTCCTTTCTTTGCAATCTGCGACACACTCAGCAGATTAAATCTCAGTTCTGGAACCAGGTAAACATCGCTTATAGTCAAGTTCAGACTCTCAAGATACACAGTCCCAATTCCGGTCGCTTCCAACTCCTGACCGTTGGCCTGTTTCACAGTGAAGCTTTGCTTCTTCAACGTCGAAAACAGTTCTCTGTGTGGGCACAAATGTTTTGTACATCCAGTGTCGATTATAAAGTCGTTCCCAACATCTGGCGTGGTTCCTTTCGCCATCATAGCCTTTGCAGGTGTCACCTGGCACTTGGTGAAATGGGGGTTGAGGAAATGATAGTGATTTTACTAATTATAGAGTTCGTGAACAGTTCCTGGTGTGAGAACTGTATGTCTATGTAATAAAAAAAGCCATGTTGGTAACACCTGCTCCCTACTATGAAAAGTTATATCCTTTGAAACATCTGTGTATTACAAGTGCGTAGAACTAGTGAACCTTTAAAGGCTGCTGGACTCCAGCCCACATCAGTTCTAGCCAGGTATTGGCTAGATGTAGTCTAATCGGTTGGAAGTAGGACACACATTTTGGAGGTTCCACTCCTACCAGCTGGACTGCTACCAATGAATAGGCATTCAAGACTTTTATTTGGACTCTTGTGTTTATGCAGTGATGTCAAGCAAACATTCAATTTTATTTCCCATGCTACTTTAATCTATTCTATATGAAACCCGGGCAGCATCTGGAGACTTAGTGTGAAGTATTCCTAATGTGTGGGTGACACCGAATTCTATCTTTTCATATTATATGATTCAGGAGGCCTTGCAAGTGCAAGCATAGTGTCTGGAGGCCCTGATGGGCTGCCTGAGGGCCAATAAATTGAAGCTGAATACTGATAGATCACAAGCTTTGTGGATAAGTGGTTTTAGGTCCAAAAACAAGACTGACACCATTCCCCACCCCAGAGCCCAGGAATTTAAGAATCTATTAGTCTTCCTTAATTTACCATGTCCTTCATTATATTGACATTATTGCTGGCCATGGATCATTTTATGGCAGTACGCAAGATGCTTTATAATGAAATTCTTATCTGGTTTATTAGCAATTTAATGCATAGTTTAAAATACAGTACCATTGATGAACACTCTTCCATTGTTAACAATACATTTCTATTAGGTCTTGTTCAATACATTCCTTCCCAAAGCTCTCATTAATGCCTCTTTGACTTCCTTGTTCCTGAAACTATATATAATGGGATTTAGCATAGGATTGATTACTGCATAAAATATAGAAATCATTTTATCATTCTCAGGGGAGTAAAATGATTTTGGCCTCATGTACATGAACATTCCTGTGCCATAATAGATGGTCACTACTGTTAGATGGGAAGAGCATGTGGAAAAAGCTTTGTGTCTGCCACTAGTGGTACGGATTCTGATGATAGCAGCAATGATGTAGCCATAGGACACCAGAACCAGGATAAAGGGCAGCATTAAAGTGCCTGCACCCCCTATCAACATCAGAAGTTCATTTAAGGTGGTATCAGTACAGATCATGTGCAGCAGAATGGGAGCCTCACAGAAAACGTGATTAATAACATAGGGTCCACAAAGAGGGGGCAAAGATAAGTAGAGTGGAACCACAGAGAGTAGAAAACTGATGGTCCAAGATGCTGCTGCAGTCTTCACACAAACACGGTAGCTCATTATTGTGGTGTAACGCAAGGGATGGCACACTGCTACATAGCGGTCAAATGCCATCACTGCTAGAAGGAGACATTCTGCTGCTCCCATAAAGAGGGAGATATAGGTTTGCAGCATGCAGAGATGATATGATATAGTTTTCTTGGTGGATATCAGGTTGGCCAACATTTTGGGGACCACAGCAGTGGTGTAGCAAAGGTTCAGAAATGCCAAGTGTTGAAGGAAAAAATACATGGGAGTATGCAGATGGGAATCTGCTGTGGCCAAGCAAATTATACTAATGTTCCCAAGAAGGGTTGCAGCATATAGAAAGAAGAAGATTGCAAAAAGTAAAGGTTCCATTTCTGGATGATTAGAAAAACCCAAAAGCATGAATTCCCAAACTTCTGTTTCATTTGTTGGTCTCATAATGCCCCATCGATTCCAACTATTGGGAAGGTGGAACCTGGGAGAAGAGCAGACAAAACTACCTTTTAGAATGTGAGAATATAGATATATCATCATATATCCTAAACCTAAATCCTACATCTAAAGTATCATTCATCAAACACAAAATACAATTAATGCAATGTTGTTCTATAACTTCCATCAGTTTGTCAAGTCAAGTTTTAGTTTTCAGTTTTATGCTCTTTTGCATATGCTAAGCCTGGACAAGATCAGCAAGATTGTTTTCCTCCTGATGTAACTTATTGTTTATGATAAAATTATAAATTTGTGATCTATGGAACAATAACTATAAAATTGTGAACTATGCAACAATATAGGAAAGAAAAAAGAGTTCTTTGATCATACAGGCACTAGAAATTTCATAGATATAAAAGCAGAGCAGAGTTATGAAGAAATAGAGACAAATGTAAAAAG